GCTGGGTTATTACCCTGAATCACAGAGATTATTTTGAACAGACTTCTTGGAGATAAAGTTGTAAAGGTCTAGTGATGTCAATATGTTCACAGGAAATACTTTTGTGTGAGCAGTGGGCTCAACAGTTGAGTAGTCCTTAGGAGACTGTTGAGGCAACTGCCATGCCGTAAGTAGTATTTCCTGAAATCTGACTAAGACAGACCTTTTTGTTATTATATTGTGAAGCTCTTGTATCTCAAAGAGAGTGAGTAATTAAGCAGTAGGATAAGCAGTTGGGTCAATTAAGACAACTGCTTAGGATGCTGCTGGCAAACTCCAATCTTTATGTGAGAAGTGTTCAGTGTGTGCTTTGTTGACTGAAAGTGAATCAACACACAGTATATTCTGGTTCAGAGGTGGTGTAATCCTCCTACATCCAGTCCCATCCTATTTGAAATGAATTTCACTAATGTATTAAGCCCAATACACTTAGTGCCAATCTAGCCTTGACAACTCTGGCCTAGATTGAAGGTGTTTCACGAGGAGTACAACACCACTCCAAGCTACTCAATCCTTTAGGTTTTTCTCAATTGATCCAGTGGGGATCAAAAGGTACTCCTGACCTATCTAACCACACTCAGGCCGGGAACAACTGTCCTCCTGAAGTGTTTTACAACACCTTGTGAACTATAAGGAAATTCTGGTCTCCAACTATAAACTAAGCTCTAAAAATATGAAGATGATGATCTAGTCTAAGAGCTTAGTGAAGCATGAGTCAAAGCAGAGTTGCTAGATATTCTTTTAATGCTTATGGAATCTCTCTGCTTTGAACTCAAAAACTTATTTCCGAACTCATGCTTCGGCCTTCATTTATAGGCATCTCCGGTAGATTAATCTCATCCGTTGGTTGAGATGATTTAATCTTGTTCGTTGAATCTTGATCGCAGAGGATAAACAACTTGTTGTTTATCTTCTTCTTCGGAGCCGATAAAACTTTTTGTCTCTTTCTGCCTAGCTGCTGCAGTTCTCCTGCGTTTATCCAACTAGACTGCGCTTCCCATGCTTTGTACGTTCTTTGCACCCATGCTGGATATTTGATTGGCTCTGAATTAAACACGAGGCAATGTGTTCGAACAGAATAATTTTTAGGTCTAATAAAATTATACTGGTAGGATTTAAATATCCTATTAAAGGTAAATAAGTTTACCTTATTGCATTTTTATTGTCCAGTAATAATTTTATTAGTACTTAAAAATTGTACATTTATTTGTTCTCATTTCGACACATTTTTTTTCTTCTCTCACACCAATATGTTTGTAATCAAATAAATATATACCGGTAGGATTTAAATATCCTTTTTAAGGTAATAAATTACCTTATTGCATTTTGACTTTTCCGGTATAATTTTCTTGATACAAAACATTTTGCTTTTGTCTTTCTGGTCACACTTGGTTGTGATTGGCCCAACTAGTATTTTGAACTTAAACCATTAATTAAACCGGTAGGATAGAAAATCCTATTAAGGTAAAGATTAATACCTTATTGCATTTTGTGTTTCAGTTTAATTAATTTGTTTGTTCAAAATCTTTTAGTGCTTTTCATGTAACAAAATAAATTTAACTGGTTGGATTTGTAAGACATCCGTTTAAGGTAAAAGAATATTACCTTATTGCATCTTTTTTCTTTTCCAATTATTTTTATTTTGTTTATTAGCATTTTGGACAAGACACTTTCGAACAAGACTTTACAAAAGATGAATCTACTAGAGTGCAAGATACAAACATTTGAATGCTACAAAAGATGGGGATGGCATCATCAAAATCGTTATATCAAAATCTAGGGTCTAACACTGCATCTACGAGGATAATGCAGCCTGTATCGAACAAATGAAATTAGGATACATCAAGGGTGACAACACAAAACACATATCTCCTAAGTTCTTCTATAATCAGCAACAACATGCCTTCCTCAAGATCCAAGTAAATCAAATAAGTTCGGAAGAAAACGTAGAAGACTTGTTTACGAAATCATTGCCCAAGGCCACATTCGAAAAATATGCGAAAACATTGGAATGCGTAAGTTTTCTGAAATCCCTTGATTAATGTAAATATCAGGGGGAGGTGTAGACTTCAGGGGGAGTCTTACACCCTCACGTTATACTCTTTTCCTTAAACCAAGCTTTATTTTTTTCCATTGGGATTTTGTTACTTGGTAAGGTTTTTAACGAGGTAACTGTGAGTATCGATCAAAGTAAAGAATCCAAAAGGACTCAATGAACGAAGTCCAATAAACTCTAGTCTCTCGTAAAGGTTTATTTTTCCCACATGTTTTTTTTGTTACTTGACGAAGATTCCACAAGGCAACAGGGAGTGCAACATTCTATCTACAACTCAGCACAAAAGGGAGTGTTAAAGGAAATTACTTGTAGTGTGCTGTCTTTATAGATAGAATATTCACTAATATATTATGTACTGAGCTAATGGGCACGAGAAGCCCAACCCTTGTATAAACCTAATTCTCCTCAATTTAAAGAGGGTCTACCTATTGGAATAATACATCTCCCTCACTTCCCTACAACACAAACTTAATTGAGTATTTTTTTAGTTTGAAGACTTAATTGGTCTTTTTAATATATTACAAGAGTCTAGCTTCATGCTTGAGATGCTAGCTTGAGAGGTGTGCATTTGTTCAAAACCGGATCGGATTGGACCGGGTCGGATCGGAACTAGTATTATAAAAAATAGAAATCGGAATTCGAACCGGATATTTTACGGTTTTTAACCGGAACTGAAACGGTTTAACCGGTTCCAAATTGGAATCGAACTAAAAACAGGTTTTTAAATTATTAATTGTTTTGGAAAAATATAAATTTAATATTTTCTTAAATATGTAGTTTTTGATATTAATAATGTTAATATTTTTACTATTTTATCTACTTACTATTTTTATTAGTTTAAAGATTGGAGTAATTTGAGTATAGAAAAATAAATGTTAGTTATTTCTATTATCAAGACAATAAGAAAAATGGATGAATATTAATGGATTATAAGGATATCCAAATATACAATTAAAGGAGAGATTGAGCTAAAGAAAAAGATGATGAATAGTGTAGTGTATTATTGTGAGTTATGGAATTATGAGTTTTTGACTTAGGTTTACAAGAGCTCCAAGAGAAGTATTTTTTGAGAGATAACGGACAGGGCCACTAATATGGGCTGGTAGGCCCAAGTACATAAAAGTCTAATCTTGTAGATACAAATGATATATGAACAGTACAATAATACAAATGTCATCCAGTAAGCGTATGTGGACCGCTGTCCAGGCTCAATTGTCACGAGACCTGATGGTCCAAGCCTATATGCTCTATCAAATCTATTGTTTTATATAGTAAAACCGAGTTAAAAACAATGATGCGTCAACCTCCCATTGGATAATGCAAATTCTATTATTACTACAACTAAAACAATTAATTAATTGTATTATCACGGGTTGTCACACCTTGCATCTCGTCTGATTTGGAGCAAAGAGGAGAAAAAATCTCACATTTTTAAAGTGATATAACTTTTATATTTATAATTCAATTTTTATAAAAAATATATCAAAATTCATAACTTTTTATGATCTTTCATATGACACCAGTATTATATATATGAAAAGACCAAAATAATTATCTATTATTTTATACAGCAAAACCGAGTTAAAAGTTATATTGATTAATAAAATTTCTTGTATCTGTTGGGCCGCGGGTAAGCGGTGCCAGCAACAGCCAGCCTGCCGGTGCAATCGGACCGCGTGGCGCTTCGCTTGTGCTATAAAGGGGGAGGAGCGTGCTTCACTATCAGCGATTGCTTTTAGTGTAGCGGTAAGCGCAACGATCCACAAGTGGTATCAGAGCCAAGGTCACGGGTTCGACCCCCGGCAACAACATACTGCGCAGTTGTAGGCTGGCAGGTGCTGGGGGGGAGATTGTTGGGCCGCGGGTAAGCGGTGCCAGCAACAGCCAGCCTGCCGGTGCAATCGGACCGTGTGGCGCTTCGCTTGTGCTATAAACGGGGAGGAGCGTGCTTCACTATCAGCGATTGCTTTTAGTGTAGCGGTAAGCGCAACGATCCACAGTATCACTACTACTATAACATTTAATTCATATAAGTTGACTTAGTTCATCATTGCTATTCACTACAATGCACCAATGCTCATTTGGAGAAGGGAAGGCAAAAAAAAAACTTATTTTAATGTATTACCCCCTCCATCCCATTTAAACGTTCCCACGCGATTTACGACGATGTTTGACTGACCATAAAGTTAATTGATCTCTGTCATTAGTAGAATTATTTTTAGTAAATAAAATTTACATATTCGGATGGAGGGAGTATAACTTATTTATTTGTACTCCAATTTTTACAAAAAATACATTAGAATTTATACGAAGTAACTTTTTATGATCTTTCATATGACACAAATTTTACAAAAAAATATATAAAAAATCATAAAGTATCATGATCTTTCATATGAAAACATAAATGGCATATAAATAAAATATTGTAAAAATCGAGTTATAAATCAATGATATATCAAATCTATAGTGAAATTTAAGTTTAAATGTAATAAAAATAGGGAAAACTATCAAATAAGCCCCCGTACTATACCGAAAAAGTCGATTAGGCCCTCGTACTTTACAAACACTCAATTAAGTCCTCGAACTATTAAAAAACGTTCAATTAAGCCCTTTTGGTGGGTAAGTAACCGATTTCCCGGTTAAACGACGACGATGGCGACGATGTGCTCGAACCCCAGCAACGGCGGCTTCCGGGAAACAGGTTACATTTAACCGGGAAACCGGTTACTTACCGACCGAAAGGGCTTAATTGAACGTTTTTTAATAGTTCAAGGACTTAATTGAGTGTTTGTAAAGTACGAGGGCCTAATCGACTTTTTCGGTATAGTACGAGGGCTTATTTGATAGTTTTCCCATAAAAATATAAACTAGGGATGAAATAATATTACTAACGATAGATGTGAGAAGATTGGAAGAGCAATGGAGAAATCCTCCTGCTTATTCATTTAGTATGTGTCCGGAGCATATATATAATACATGAGAGGGACCTATGTATAATAGGTGAGAGAAAATAAGCATGCATGTTCCATGCGAATGACTATCTACATAGGAAAATACATACATGTACAAATAAAAAGATAAAATGGTATGTAGAAAAATAAGTCAACTTTAATACTCCCCATTTCAACTTACTGTGACTGCCATAACAAGGTATTCTACTTCAGCAGAGGAACGTGAGACGACCGATTGTTTCTTTGTCTGCCACGATATGGGTGAGACTCCAAGAGTAATAGAATAACCAGTGCTTGAGCGTCGATTGAAAGGGCAGCCGGCCCGATCAGCATCGCAAAAACCTGTCAATGTGATGTCATTATCTGAGGATAGATAGATTCCTTGACCAGGTGTATGCTTCAAGTACATAAGTACACGAATAGCAGCATTAAGACGTGTCTGTCGTGGGGCACTGAGAAATTGACTGAGCTGGCTGACGGAATAAACTATGTCTGGTCGTGTGACGGTGAGATATAACAGGCGCCCAATTAACCGGTGATATGAAGAAGCCTCCACGAGTGGGCTACCATCGTCAGGACAAAGCTTTAAATTTTGCTCCATTGGAAATGAGCTAGGACGGCCAACAAGAGTCCCTGTTTCTGCCAAGATGTCAAGAGTATACTTGCGTTGACTTAAAACAAATCCTTCTGGTGAACGAGCGACTTCAATGCCAAGAAAATACTTTAATTTTCCCCAGTCTTTGATGCTAAATTTGGCATCTAAATAACCCTTGACCATATTGATGTGAGAGAGGTCATGATTAAAGCAAAGGTATTAATCGATCCCTTTTGAAAAATAAAAAGGGAGTGGTCTGCTCATGATTGACGGAAGCCAATGTCGATTAGCGCATGAGTGAATTTATGATACCAATTACGAGAGGCTTGCTTGAGGCCATACAGGGATTTTTGTAGTTTGCAAACACGAGTGTCTCCCTTTTGGCAAAACCTTGTGGTAAACGCATATAAACATCTTCGGAAAGATCACCGTGAAGAAAAGCGTTGTTTACATCCAATTGATGGACAACCCAATTGCGTTTTGCGGCAACGGCTAACAAACACCTTACTGTGACAAATTTGGCAACAGGAGCAAATGTTTCGTGAAAGTCAACTCCCTCGACTTGAGTATAACCTTTAGCAAAAAGTCTTGCTTTGTAACGCTCTACGTCTCCATTAGGTTTATATTTGATCTTATAAACCCATTTAGAGTCAACAACCCTTTTTCCGGGTGGTAAATGGACAAGGGTCCAAGTGTCATTTTCTTCGAGGGCATCAATTTCCTTTTGCATGGCTTCTCGCCATAATGGATCCTGTACTGCATGGGAAAAATGCTTAGGCTCATCACGGGCTGTGATGGCTGCCAAGTAAGCTTTATGAGTGGGAGAAAACTTATCATAATTAATGAAATGTGAAATAGGATATACCATAGAGTCAGCATGGTTGGCGGTGAACCGATGAATAAGGGAGGATGGTAAGTCAGTATCATAATCTGATAGGCGTGTTGATGGCCGCCGAACTCTTGCGCTGCGTTTTGGCTCATTTTGAGATATTGTGCATTCAGGCGGCTGATTAGGCTGTGACTTGTGGGCCAATTGGCATGGTATGTATCTGCTGGCTGATTTTCAAATCCATATGAGTGGGTATTGTGTCCACCGTTTCCTGGTGACCCTCAATTGATTGAGAACAAAAGTCCAAATTGGGTGGCTGGAGGCCATGTTGTTGGCACGCGAGATGATGGGTGGCCTCATCCAAGAGAGCTACATCGTGACTCACCTTCGTGTCTCTTTCATGCAGCGGCTGTCCAGGTGGGCCACCTCCAATCGGCGTACTCCCATGAGGCGGTGCAAATGTGTGGCTATTTGTTGGTCCAAGTCCACTATTCAATGATGGAGCAGGAAGCAAATCACGTGTTACGTACCTGGAAGAGAGAGTAATTTGCTGGGTCCCTGATTTATCTAGACGTTGATGTATAATTTGATCATAGGCTTGCTCAATCTCTTGAGTTTCAGAATAGTATTAGGAAGAAAGAGAAATCTTGTTTTAGTTTATTCATGAAGAAGATGTATTGGAGAGAGCGTGTGTAGAATGGGATTGTAAGAAGCAAAATATATATAGTATTGTTTTAACCACCTCTAACTAACTATAGGTACCGATTGATTAGAAATATCTAGAAGTGGCGTGTAAACTAAGCTAACTAATTAGCTAGCTATACTTCACATCCCCCCTCAAGTTGGACTTGGTTGTGATAAACTAGTCCTAACTTGGAAACAAAATGTTCATGATGTTTGATTCCCAGAGCTTTAGTCAGTACATCTGCAATCTGAGAACTAGTGTGAATGTAGTGTGGCTTCAAGAGTCCTTCCTAAAACCTTTCTCTAATGTAATGACAATCAATGTGTAGGTGTTTTGTTTTGTCATGAAATACCGGATTTTCAACAATATGTTGAGCAGACATGTTATCACAATACAACGGAACAGGTTTGGGAATCTTGACATTGAGTTCTGTTAGTAACCCATCAATCCAAACGACTTTAGAAGCAGTGTAACTCATGCTCCTATATTCAGATTCTGTAGTAGATTTGCTAACAGACTTTTGCTTCTTTGTTTTCCAGGATATTAGTGACTTTCCTAGAAAGATGCAGTACCCTGATAATGATCTTCCAGTCATGAAACAAGATCCCCAATCCGCATCACAATATGCTGATAGTTCAGAAGATGATTCAGCTGGATAAAATAATCCAAGATTTGCAGTATGTTTGAGATACCTAACAAGGAAAAGGGCAGCCTGCATATGAACAACTTTGGGTTCATTCAAGAACTGACTGAGTTGCTGAACTGTATAGGAGATGTCTGGTCGTGTCAAGTTGAGATATAACAATCTTCCTATCAGCCTTCTGTACTGTTCTGGCTCAGCAAACAACTCACCCCTTTCTGCTGAGAGTTTTAGGCCTGTAGGCGTAGGAAATGAAGCTGGTTTACAGTCCACCATGTTAGTGTCATGTAATATATCCAAAATGTATTTTCTCTGATTGAAAATGATTCCTTTGTTGTTTCTTTCTACTTCTATTCCTAGAAAATAGCGCATATGACCCAAATCCTTTATAGTAAAGGTTTTATTGAGGGCATCCTTAACTTCTGTAATTTGTTTTTCTGAATTGCCTGTGATCAATAAATCATCTACATATGCAAGAACTAATGTAAATGTTGTACTGGTTCTCTTAATGAATAGAGAGTAGTTTTGTTTGGACTGATGAAAACCAAGATTGATTAAGAACTTAGTGAGTTCAAGATTCCACTGTCTTGAAGCCTGTTTCAGCCCATATAAGGACCTTTTGAGTTTACAAACTTGTCCTGGTTTAGCACATTGATATCCTTCTGGAATTTGCATGTAAACCTCTTCATCAATGAATCCATGCAAAAAGGCATTATTAATGTCTAACTGATGTAAATTCCAGGTTTGAGATGCTGCAAAAGAAATTAGAACCCTCACTGTGGTGAATTTTGCAACAGGACTAAATGTGTGCTTGAAATCCTTTCCTTTGATCTGATTATAACCTTTGGCCACTAATCTGGCCTTGAAGCGTTCAATGGTTCCATCTCTGAATTTTACCTTGTAAACCCATTTAGCACCAATGGCCTTTTTTTCCGTCTGGGAGAGAAGTAAGTTCCCATGTTTGATTTCTTTCAAGAGCATCCAGCTCTTGTTGCATTGCTTTTACCCACCTCTGATCTTCTTTAGCTTGGTTGTAAGAAACTGGTTCATGTACAGATTGTTGGAAAAAATGTGTTAAAAGTGTATTAAATGGTCATTTTGGGGCAATTATTTGAGTGGGTCCACATCCGATTTTTATCGGGTCAAAGTGGTTTCGGATTGTCCTTGCTAAGGGCTACAATTCGATATATGGTACACTCAAAACGGATAACGGGTGAATGAGAAATTGTTTTTCGAAGTTTACCCGTTGGAATGGAGAAAACTAGGAAAATGTGGGTTCTAGTGTGGGTTCTTTCCCACACCGAAAATCACAAGGGAATTTGAACCCTTTATAAAGGGAAACCCCCCATAAGGAGTTAAGATTCCTAAAGGAAAAGGCTCTCTCACGCGCGCAGGGGGGGTGCGAATCAAATCCCGAAAGTGAAGAACAAAAACCGCGACTTGCGTGTGCGGGCGACCTGCACACACGAATGCCGTCCGAAAATCTGTCTTCTAAAGATAACGTTATTTTTTGTTCTTCCGTTACTACTTTAATTTTTGCTCCATGCACATAAATGCCCAACGTCTATATGCTGTCATGGATGTCCCAACGTTCATATGAACGTTTTTGGGTTGTTTAAGGACTGGAATCAATGCCCAACGTTTAGGACATTGATGTCCAACGATCATAACCCTTAAACAGCCATTAACACACCTTAATCCACCCCTATAAAAGGCTAGTAGGTGCTTTGCAAATACACAACCTTTCATACACTTCGTTCACGTATTTTCATAGCTAAAACAGCACCTCTAGCACTCCATACAATGCGGAGCATGCTTTGAACGGTTTGAACGATAATCACTCTGAAAGCGGAGCTCCGGTGAACAATAGTTCACAACGCGGTGCATCTGCTTTGGTTAACCAAAGGGCTATCCCTATGGTGACCGTGCCGAGCAACTCTGTGGAGAAACCCGAAAAATTTAATGGGTTAAACTTCAAGAGGTGGCAGCAAAAGATGCTCTTCTATCTCACTACTCTCGGTCTTGCACGTTTCTTGACCGAGGATGCGCCGGTAGTAACCGGGGGTGAGGTGGATGTGCAATCTTTCAACGCGGTTGAGGCTTGGAAGCATTCTGACTTCATTTGCCGAAACTACGTGTTGAACGGGCTGCATGATGATCTGTACGACGTGTATAGTAAATTAGCTACGGCTAATGAGCTATGGAATGCTTTGGACCACAAATATAAGAGCGAGGATGCCGGTGCAAAGAAATTTGTTGTCGGTCGATTCCTTGATTTTAAAATGGTGGATTCGAAGATGGTCTTGAGTCAAGTTGAAGAAATGCAAATGATCTTCAACGAAATTCGAGATGAAGGAATGACGGTTAGCGAGTCTTTCCAAGTGGCGTCAATTATCCATTTATTGCCGCCGGCTTGGAAGGATTTCAAGAACTACCTTAAGCATAAGCGAAAGGAAATGAACTTGGAACAGTTGATCCTCCGTCTGCGGATTAAAGAGGATAATCGGAAGAACGATGGGAGACTCCCAATCGTTAGCGGCGCCAAGGCCAATGTGGTGGAGCATGCAAAAGGCTCCAAAAATAAAAATAATGGGAAGAGTAAGCTCGGTCTCAAGGGAGGCGTTTCCAAACCCAAATTTAATGGAAAATGCTTCAATTGCAACAAGAATGGACACAAGTCCTCGGATTGCAAGGCACCACGGAAGAAGAAAGACTCCCAAGTCAACTTGGTGTAAGGTGGGAAAAAGGATGAAGACATCATCCTAGCGGCTGTGGTTACCGAAGTCAACCTCGTTAGATCCAATTCCAAGGAGTGGTTCGTGGACACCGGTGCAACCCGGCACATTTGCTCTAACCGGGAGCTATTCACAACCTTTGAGCCATCAAACGGTGAGAAGGTGTGGATGGGGAATTCTGTTCATTCCGAGGTTTAAGGCATGGGCAAGGTGGTCCTGAAGATGACTTCGGGCAAGGAGCTAACTCTCAACAATGTGTTGTACGTCCCGGAGATACGCAAAAACTTGATCTCGGGCTCTTTGTTGAACAAGCATGGGTTCCGCATGGTCTTTGAGTCGAACAAACTAGTTTTGTCCAAATCGGGAATGTATGTGGGGAAGGGGTATGCAGTTGATGGGCTGTTTAAGCTCAATGTAATGACTATTATTAATAATAATAATAAAATCTCTTCTGCTTACTTGCTTGAGTCTTCCAATGTGTGGCATGGTAGACTAGGACATGTTAATTTTAATTCTATACGTAGATTAATTAACATTGAACACATTCCTAAATTCACAATTGATGTGAATCACAAATGTGGAGTTTGTGTAGAGGCAAAACTAGCGAAAACGTCTTTCAAATCGGTTGAAAGAAAAACGGAGCCACTTGAATTAATTCATAGTGACGTTTGTGATTTTAAATCAATACAAACACGTGGCGGTAATAAATATTTTATTACTTTTATCGATGATAGCACTCGCTATAGCTATGTTTATTTATTAAAAAGTAATCGATAAATTCATTCTTTATAAGAATGAAGTGGAAAACCAACTTAATCGACGGATTAAAATGGTTAGAAGTGATCGAGGTGGTGAGTATGAAGCACCAATTGGTGACTTTTGCGCGAGCGTGGGTATAGTACATGAACGTACCGCACCCTATTCACCTCAATCAAATGGTGTTGCCGAACGAAAGAATCGCACATTGAAAGATATGATGAACGCGATGCTAGTAAGTTCGGGCTTGCCACAAAATATGTGGGGCGAAGCAGTCTTGTCAAGCAATTACCTTTTAAATAAGGTTCCCCGGAAAAAATATGATAAAACTCCGTACGAGTTGTGGAAAGGCAGATGGCCTTCCTATCAATATTTAAAAGTGTGGGGGTGTTTGGCAAAAGTGCTTGTACCAACATCTAAGAAAATAAAAATAGGTCCAAAAACGGTGGATTGTATTTTTATTGGATATGCACAAAATAGTAGTGCTTATCGGTTTTTAGTGTACGATTCGAATAATCCGGATGTACATGAAAACACTATAATTGAATCAAGGAATGCTTCATTCTTTGAAGATGTATTTCCATGTAAGTCCAACGAAGGACCTAGCACGTCAAAACGAACATTTGACGTAGCTATGGAAAATACTAGCGAGGGATCCGGTGAAGAACCCGAACCCTGACGTAGCAAACGTGCTAGAGTAGAAAAATCCTTCGGACCGGATTTTCTCACATACCTGGTAGAATTCGATTCGAATATTCTAACTTGTATGGTAGAAAATGAACCGGATTTTCTAACATGTTTGGTAGAAAATGAGCCACGGACTTATACGGAAGCCGTAACGTCTACCGAAGGACCGATGTGGAAAGA